CCCTCCTCCTCCATCCAGATATGGCCTCCATCCTGATCCCTGTGCTCTTGCTGCTGCTGCTGCTTCTAGTGGCTGGAGTGGTATTCTGGTATAAGCGGCGAGTCCGAGGGTAAGCCATCGGAGTCTAGAAAATTCTGGCCACTGTTTTGTCACCCAGCATTATTCCCCCACCCACCCAACATCTCTGCCCTCTTAGACTTCTTTCTCTTCCCAGGGCTAAGGGCTTCCAGCACCAGCGGATGACCAACGGGGCCATGAATGTGGAGATTGGGAATCCTACCTATAAGATGTACGAAGGCGGAGAGCCTGATGATGTTGGAGGCCTACTGGATGCCGACTTTGCGCTGGACCCTGACAAGGTGGGCTGGAGGACAGAGGCTGTGGGTGGAGCAGCCTCTGAGGTGCCGGCTTGGAGGTAGGGGTGGGGAACCTAGGCCGCACCTGAACCTCCATTGCTCTGCAGCCCACCAACTTCACCAACCCTGTGTACGCCACGCTCTACATGGGAGGCCACGGCAGCCGCCACTCCCTGGCCAGCACGGATGAGAAGCGAGAACTCCTGGGCCGGGGCCCTGAGGATGAGATAGGAGACCCCTTGGCATAGGGCCCTGCCCAGTGGACTTCCCAGAGAGCCCCTACCAGAAAAGTCCTTCAGTGAGCCCCCGACAGCTCTTCCTTGGCGCTGCCAGATGTATAAATGTAAAAATGAAGGAATTACTTTTTATATGTGAGTGAGCAAGCGAGCACAGTATTATCTCTTTCCATTCTCCTCCTTCCTGCCTGCTCCTCAGCACTCCCACCCATGCTGCCTTGGGGCAGGGCTGGCAAGGAGGGCTCTGGGGCTTCTGCAGTTTAAAGGTATGAGGGAGCCCACCTCCTACCTTCCCACCAAAATGCACCACAGGGACAGCTGGCAAGACGGCCTCCCTGCCTTATAAGACACGTTCTCAAGGCTCTTCACCTTGACCCCAGCCTCCCCCTGCTCCACAGCACTGGGGCCAATTTGGGGAGGTGGGTTGAGTTTTCTGATGCTCCTGCCTGGAAGACTTGCCTGGCTGAGTAGGAAGGAAAGAGTGGAGTTCTTTAGTTCTTTTGTGGGAGGTCACCCCAACCCCAAACCCTACTCCAAGGGCACCTCTAAAATGGCCATGCGCAATACCCCTCCCAGACAAGCCCTCCCCCCTCCAGCTTCCCCACTGTGGCTCCCAGGGCTGGAGACTTTCTTTGGTAATGGTCCCCCAGCCTCCCTTCTCTTGGGAGGTCGGATACACCAAGGAAGGGCAAGTGGGCAGCCCCATTTTGGGGACATGAATGTTTTAATAATTTTTGCTGAATTACTTTACAACTAAATAACACAGATATTGTTATAAATAAAATTGTAAAAAAAAAAAAAAAAAAAAGAAAGAAAAAAAGAAAAAGAAAAAAAAGCTGCTTGCGTCTGCCTGCGAATGTGACTCTGGGAGTTGGGGCTGCACTTGCCTGATTTTCCCACCAGAGAGAGCCCTTCTCTTTACTGGGCTGGACAGTCCGTGACCATGCCCTTCTCCCAAGACCCTCCCTCTTCATCTTGCTATGACAGGGGACAGGTGTGGTGCTGGATTTGCCAGTTTCAAAAGACCTGCTTCTCCTAGCAATGTGCCCTTGAGCCAGTGACTGCACTTTTCTGGATCTCGTGTTCCCTCTGACTCCAGAACAGAGATCTGGAGCTGGGGACTTAGCTCAGCGGCATAAGCACCAGCCTTGCAAGCTCAAGGTCCTTCCTCAGTACAAAAAAAAAAAAAAAAAAAACAGAACAGAGATCTGTTTGTCTACATTAGCACTTCTACTAGACACCACTACCCCTTCTGCCCCAGTTCATCTCCCAGAATGAAATCCCACCAGAAAAACTTAATACATTGGCTTGTGGCTCTCTCTGCCTGCATTGATATCTAACTTCAGGGAGACTGATCAGATGCCACAAGTAACACCCTGGATGGGGTCAAGGTGCTGGAGTGAAGGAGAGCTGGGAAGGCCAACTTGCCAGGCCCGTCAGCATTCAACAGATCCAATTCACCAACCACTTAAGACATTGCAGGGATGACAGAAAAGGACAAGATCGTTTAAATTGTCCCAGGTCTTCTAAAATCTTTCCCCAGCCTGGGATACAGCTTAGTGGCACAGCACCTTCCTAGAAAGTGCGAGGTTGTGAGTTCGATTCCTGATATCCAAAAAAAAAAAAAAAAAAAAATGATAATAAAACCCTACCCCAGGAAAGGGAACACAGCTTTAAACTGTCCACGACAGAAAGGGTTAGAACCCCACTCTCCCTCCAAAAGCAAATACAAGCCGAAAACTCCTGATGGTCTTTTACCAATTCCCAGAGAAGGAGCATGTCTTTCATTCCTTCTCCCTCACTGATTGAACTTCCCCAGGATAATTCCTCCCTGGCTTTCAGTTTCCTTAGGGAGCTTATGGGTCTGGTCCTGTCCAGGAACAAGAGCCCTCCCCTTCCTTCATGCCCTGAAATCCCACCTCCAACCTCATCCTCCAAGCCGACTCTGAAATTCTCCCCTGTCTTCCGAGGTCCTCAGGACCCCTTAGGCCCTGAGGACCGCAACCCGGCTGGGAAAAGGGAGAGTTCTTACTACAGTGCTGAGTGGGAGGCTTATGCCCTCATATGACCACCAGATGGCGCCCGCACCCCTGAAGCGCTGCTTATCCTGAAGCCCAGCACAACCCCCTCCTCAACACACACTAATTATACACCTGCGGGGGACCCCAGCCTAGTCTCTCACTTCCTTCCCTCGGGCTATTTTGCCACACCCGCTCCACCCTCTGCCAGCCAGCTCCCTTCCCTCCCCAAGCGCCAGCCTCCGCGCCACCAGCAGCAGCCCCGCCCCCTCACCCCTCCCTCCGCCAGCCGCGCATCTGGTGCCCCCCCGGGAGCTACTGATTCTCTGGCTGTCGCCACAAGATCCCGGGCAGAGCGAGAAGGGCCCCCACCTGCGACTCAGGAGGCACACCTCTGGTCAGCATGCTCCCTCTATCATCCAGAAGAGGGTCCATCAGGACACAATCCTCCTAGACTTCCCACCCATCGAGGCAGGAGGGGGCCTAAGGGCAGGAAAGAGATGGAGGCCAGCCAGAGGCAGGGGCAGACGCAAATCAAATGAGAGCGCTTTGCACATGAGGGCAGAGGCTAAGATCCAGAGACAGGAGGTGTGTGTGTGTGTGTATGTGTGTGGTGTGTGTACATGCGCGTGCCGGTGTGAGCACACAAGCATATATATAACTGAAGGGAGCTGAGATTGCCACAAGGAGTGTTGGAATGAGTCAGGCCTCCCAAAGATCAAAACCTCGGTGAGTGGCTTCTGTCCCCAGCACTCTAGGCTCCCTCCACCCTCTCCCCTGCTTGGGACCCTGCCTGGGTCTCTCTGATGGGGCTGCCTGGACTTGGCCTGGACCTGCCTCTCACCTCTCTGTTGTGCCTACACCTAAGCCCCTGCTTCCTGACTTCTGTCTCCCTGGGTGTCACTATGTCTGTCCTTTCCATGACGCTTGTTTTGTTCACATCATACATCTGTGGAGCACTGGGTTTTTACCTCTGTCTCAGCTTGTCTTTTTGGACTGCTAGTGTGAGTGTATTCCTGAGAGTGTGGTGTATGTGTGTGTGTGTGTGTGTGTGTGTGTGTGTGTGTGTGAATCTCTGGATCTTTGCCTCCTAATTAAAGCAAGGTGGAGCGTACTCTTAGTGTCTGGTCAGACCTACTTGTACCTTGGTGCATTTGTCTTCCTCTGTCACTGTGTCCCTATGTGTGTAAATCAAGTGTGTGTATCTGTGTGTGTTGGTGCACTTCTGGTGTTGCACGTGTCTGTGCATGCTGGTCTCTGAGTGTGAATGTGTTTTGCTCTGTGCATGCTCACGCTACCCAAGTGTGGCAGGGCCTCTATAGATATGCCTGGAGGCTTGTGTGTTGGTGACTCAGGGCAGACACCGGTCTCCATCTCTGCCTGTCCCTCTCTCTCACTGTCGAGGTGTGGTCATATCACCTCAGCCTCAGCCTCAGCCTCTGTGCATAGCAACAGCTGACAGCTGAAGACTCCCGGGGCAGGGAAGAGTCTAGCTGGAGGAGGGAGCTGATGAAGAAACAGCCAGAGCATGGGAACAGACAGAGACTGGGCTGCAAACTGGGGACGGAGACAAGGACAGAGGCCGACAGGGAAAGGAACAGGGCTGGAGAAGAGCGGGTGGTGAAAGATGGGACAGTGAGAAGGAGCGGCTGGAGATTATACCAAGAGGCTGGGCAGGCGGCCCTGAAGGGGACTTCTCCCCAGCCCTCACAAAGGGACCCCGAGCCGCGCGGGGGTCAGCCCCGGGGCCGGGGGTGAAAGGTGAATGGCCAGGCCATGTCGCCAGGGGTCCTGAGAACGCAGAGGTGCCGCGGGACGGGGGCGGGGCGGCGGGCGCCGTTTGTCAGCCCTATTGACAGACGTGATGGGGTTTCCGTCCGTGATCAATGATTCTCATCTCCGGGCCGAATGAGCCGCGGGGCGCCCATCCATCCCCGTCAGCGCCGCGCTCCGGCAGCCGCCCGAGGCCCCGCCCGTCCTCACCTGGGCCCTTGCCGCTCTGCCCCGGACCCACCTCGGCCCGAGCAGCGAAGGGCCCGGGCCCGCGAGAGACCCTGGTCCCGCGGCGGCGCCGAGCCTTGCGGGCTTTGCTCCCGCCGCCGGCCCCTCGCGCCAACAGTGCCGGAGCGCAGGGCCCCGCGCCCCGCCGATCCTCGCCACCTACAGACCTGCCTCTCGGGGGCGCGGTGCCGGCGCCCCGCCACCTCCCCGCCTCGCACCTGGGCCAGGGGCGTGTCCGGGCGTGTCGGGGTGAAAGTCACCTTCGGTGCCCCCGCTGGGCGGGAGGGGCGCGGGGCGCGGCCGGATTGGAGCGCCGGGAGCCCCGCCCCCCGCGCCGCCGGAGTCAGACCCAACTTTCTCCCCCGCCCGCGCCCCGCCCCCGGCCGGCGCCGCGCTCCGCTCCGCTCGCTCAGTCCGCGGGCCGCGCCGCCCGCTCCGCAGCCTCCCGCCGCCCGGCAGCCCCGCGCCCCGCGCCCAGTCCGCCCTCCGGGGACCCGCCCTCCCGTCCGCTCGGCCGCCCGGGAAGATGCGGCTCCCGGAATGGATCCTCTTGCTCCTCGGCCCGTGGCTCCTTAGGAAGGTAAGGCCACCGGGCGGAAGCGCGAGCGCGGGGGTCCCGGACGCGAAGGTCCCGGAGTGCGAAGGGCTCGGTGCGCCTGCCCCGCCCCCAGCTCTAGCGTCCCAACTTTGCGCGGCGCGGAGGACGCGGACAGACAGACTGCCAGCTTCAGGACCGGCGCTCTCCCGGCACAAGTTGGCTGAGGGTTGGAGGGGGTGCCTGGCGGAGGCCCGGCTCGGATCGGGCGTCGAGAGCAGCGGGGGAGGAGACGAAGCGCGACCCGCGAGTGCGCCAGACAGAGCGGGAGTGCGAGACAGACAGACAAGCCAGGAGGGTGTCAGCCTTGCCGTCTTTCCGCGCCAACCTCGCTCGCCTTCCGAAGTGTCTGTCTGTCCTTCTACCTCTCCACCCCCGCCTTCCCATTTCTGTTCTCTGCACTTGTCACAATGCCAAGTGAGCTGTGTTCGGAGCTTACACGGCCCGGGCACACACCCATACACGGATGCACACCGACACGATTGAACTTGGCTACAGTCTCCCATTACATTTCCCGCGGAGACACCATCTCCCCTGCACAACCTCACAGACACACCCCCTCTCGCGCCGGCTGGTGGAGGTGGTGGGGTGCTATCTGATTGGGGGTCTCTCCTCCTTGCCCCCCCCCTTTCCCTGAGGTTCCTGGGCGAGAACCTAGACACCAAGGGGGCCCAGACTTGATTCTGCCATCCTCTCTACTTGGAAGCTTCTGCTAGTGTACCAGTGTGCTCACGTGTGCTGCTGTAGAGTGTGTGGGCCAGTGTGCACCTGTGTGCGTGTCTGCCCAAGGAACCCCAGACTTGTGTGTTTAAGGTTGGGGTCAGGGTGTATGCTGCTGTTCCAGTGGTGATATGATACTTGCTTCGCCTGCTAAGTGCAGGTGCCTGCTTCACGGGGCAGTCGTCTGTGTCTGTACCCTATGTGTGTTCCACAATGGGGTAATAGGCTTTGACCCTGTCCCCTCTGTCAGACTCTCAAGCCCCTGGCTTCTCTGTCTTCTGCACTCCAGCTGTGACTTATGAAGTCAAAGGGCAAGCCAGTAGCCTTCTAAATCCTCATTCCCTGCCCTAGGTCTCCAGCCCCTACAGAGTCCAGAAGGGATATAATGCCACCCCCAAGGCTTAGACCTCTGTATGCTTACCCCAGTTGCCCTCAGCAACTCCAGCAAGGTAGGAGCTACCCCAGAGCTACTGATTTTTCCAGACCTGCCTGGTGACCTTGAGGGGCTGGAAGGTGGGCAGAGGTGCCCCTTCCCTGAAAACTGCTTCCTCTGGCAAGAGCTTTTGGACTTGCTGTCTAGCTCTTCCCTTAGAAGACTCAGGAGAAGGTCTGGCCCAGCATGACCATGTGTGAAGGCCTGAGGTCAAGAGGAGATAGGGATGGCACTACCCTGCCTCTCCTCTCCTTTCCCCTCCCCTCCCCCTTCCCCTCTTCTTCCCCTCCCCTCCCCCTTCCCCTCCTCTTCCCCTCCCCTCCCCTCTCCTCTCCTCTCCTCTCATCGTTTCTTCCCATCAAATAAACTCCCCTGTGGACAGATCTGGTTTAATTTCCTTTGCCCCCTGAAGGGGAATGAAACATCTGGTGGAGACTTGAGGGAGAATGAGGGAGAGGATATGAGCGATGGGATCTATCCAAGTGTGTGTGAGAGCTGCAGCTGTGGGGCCTCCGTGTTGGAGTCAGTGGGGGAGATCATATCAGCCTTTTAGTCCAGCATGTGTGCATTTGAGAATCTGTGTTTATCTGTGGTGGGTGTACACACTCCAAGTGTACCAATATGTATAACTAGCACGGGGAAGTGTGTGTGAGAAGTGTCTGTGTGTTCGAATACCCGTGTGTGCTGCTGTGTCCTCTTGTGAGTAGGGAGTGTGCACACATGTAGGCCCTAGGGGCTCTGCCGTGTGTGCATGGTGGGGTCCGTGTGTTGTCTGTGTATGTCTGGGATTTGTGAATGTGCATCTGTGTACTTATAATTTCAAGTACAGCCGAATGTGAGGATGAGGTTGTGAGCCTCAGAATATGCTCATATATCTGAGTGTGGTTTATGTGTGTGTGCATTCAGGGTTGTCTCCGTGCCAGTGCTGGGAGTGGGCAAAAGGTGATGGTGACATTTGGAGAGAGGCTCGTGAGCAGAGTTCATAGGGCAACTCTTGAAAACCCTCAATGCTACCAGCCCTGCCTTCTTCCTTTTTTTATTTGCTCTTCCTGCACAAGTGCTCAGCCATCGTCCTCCTTGCCCTAGGCTTCTGGTCCCCGCTTAGGGCCTGAAACTTCTGGTTTCCACTGCCTCTGGGGCTCTGGTCTCTCCGCCTAGACTGCTTCAGGATCTTTCTAATACTCTCTACTCATTTTCCTCTCTATATCTGTCTCCCCCCCAACCCCTGCCAAAGCTGCTGCCCGCAGAGAGAAGCAGCAGGTGATCAATAGTCACTAATCACTAATCACTAATTACTAATTAGCTGGGGGAGGGTAGGGGTTCGGGCCTGTGGGACAGCTCAGCTCTATCCCGCCTCAGGGAAGGATTACACCCGAATCGAGGGTCCCTGAGCTGGCTAGCTACAGCCCTGGGTCCAGCCACCGCCTCCTGTTTCCTTACCCTCCTTTAGCCCCCCAGCTAATCTCTGGCTTGGCCACTTAGGCACGCACAGTCTGGGCTAAGGCCCAGAGCTGCTGAAGGGGATTTGGGGGTAATCAGGGGCCGCAGCTGGGCCAGGGACTGGGGGTGGGGATGGGGGTGCTGTGACAGTTCCCTTGGGCCTGGGCCTGCGGCAGAAGCCCCAATCCTGATGGGCGGGACCCTGCTGCAAGGAGAATTTAGAGAGGCGCGGGTTGGGTTAGGTGAGGAGCTGGAGACCGGGGTTGGGGGTGACTGGAGAAGAGTTGAGGTAATAGGACAGAAACAAGGTAAAGAGGGGCCACTGGGGTCATGAATTGGGTAACCAGGGAGGAGTGAGATAATCTCCAAAGCCAGCAGGTAAGTGGAGGGGTCCGGATTGGGGTGAGAGGTAGAATAATCATCAAGTAGATAGGGAACTTTGGACAGAGCACCAGTAACTCAAAATGGGCGTGTGCTGGGGGGCCCGCTGACAGAGGTGGCCGGGTGTAGGGGGAGGGGCCTAGGGTTCAAGGCTAGAGGGAGTCACAGGGTCTTCTGTGTAGTGGGCTGTAGGGTGGGGACAGGAGCAGAGTGCGGCCTTGAGCGCTGGAAATTGGCGAGTCTCCCCCTCTCCCCCGCCTGCCCCTCCTCCACCTCCACCCCGCCCACTCCCCCTCCGGCTCCGGCTTCGGGAAATTACATCCCCGCTCCGCGTCCCCCCTCCCCGCCCCGCGCCCCGGAGCCGGCGCCTTTATAGGCACATTTATTGCAATAATAAAGTGAGGCGCGGGGCGGGGGGTGGGGGGCGGCCGTTCCCGAGGGGACCGCGCCGGCTCTAGGAAGCAGGGAAATAAAATAAAATAAAATAAAATCAAAATTCAGATAACGGTGAGCCTTGCGCGGCAGGCCTCCAGCAGGCGGGCAGGCGGGGCTGGTGGGGAGGGGGCGATCCACCCAAGGGCAGAGCCCACTCCACCCGCAGCGCACGCCCCTCCCCGCTCGCAGTAGGGAGCCTGGAAGGAGGTCTCCCGTCTACACCTGCCTGGCCCTTCCTAAGCCTGGCGCAGCCCAGTCTCCTGCCTTGCCTCTGGCTTGTCATTCATACCTATCCCCAGCGTTCTGTCCATGGCCCTCATCACTTCCCTTGCCCCTATTTGCCATTCCAGTTCCCATTGGCGTCCCCGTCCCCATTTCCTGATCTGTGCATCCATCAGCATCACTGTTGCTGCTTGTTAATAACAATCCTTCGTCCTCCATATCTGTTCTGTCCCATTGTGTCCCCATCACCATCTCCCAATCTTTCCTTGGCCTTCCTCATTTCTGCCTATCCCCAGTGCCCATCCCTTGTCCACCATCGCTGGCCCCATTTTGGCACCCATCTTTTCTGTGCCCCATCTTTGCTCTTCTGGTCCCTATCTCATCTGCATCGGGCCTCTGCCCACCATTTCTGATCTCTCCATCCCCATCCTCATGTCTATCCTTGTTGCATTTTCCGCCCTTGCCCATGCCTGCCAGGTCTGCAAGCCTAACCCTACTCCATCTCTGTCTCAGGCCTCTCCCCAGCCTGTCCTATCCACCCACCTCATCCTCACCCCCATCTCTGTCCCTGATTCCCAGCCAGACTTCACCCGCCCCAACTGCGGTGTCCTCGCCTCTTTCTAGGTTCAGGGGCTCAGAACGCTATTTTCTTCCTTACCCCACCCAGGTCTGGACTGGCCCTTCCCCGCCCCAGGGTCCTGTCGACCCCCTGGCTAAATTCTGAGCACTCTACCTGATCTACATGGCAGGAGGGAACCACTGAATAACCCAGAGGCCCAAGGGAGGTGCACCCTGCAATGCGGCTGGGGACCGATAGGCCAGTCCTCCTTGGATTTCCAGCAGCCCTGTCCCATCCCAAGCGTCGAGTGTCCCCGTCTCCCCGCCCCCTGCGATGGAGTTTATTCAGCAGCCTGAGATGGCCTCAACTCCCCTCAGGTGCGTGGGCCTGCTGCCTTGGGGGCAAAGCGCTCCTGGCACGGCTCCCGCCTGCAAAGGCCTGGAGGAGCCTGTGGAAGGAAGCAAGCAAGAAAGCCCCCCCCAGCCACTGCACACCTCCACCCGCGCTGACAGCCATCCTAGCCTCTCCCCTCTGCAAATGTCACCGCGCCCAATTAGCTTAATTAATCCAGTTCTGCAGCAAGGGGGACCCCACCTCGGACAACACCCTTAGCCTGGATGGGAAAGTAGGGCTCTGAGCAGGGAGCTCCTTTACACCCCCCCCCCCCCCCCGCTGCTGCAGACAGAAAACCTGAAGGACAGAAGGAGGGAGCCACAGCTAGGAGACAGACAAAATGGAAAAGCAGAATACTGGAAATTAAAGACAGGGTGAGGGGAAAAACTGAAAGAAAGAAACTGAGAAGACTGGAGGGAGAGAGAGAGATGGAAAAACAGTGAAAGAGGGAGAGCAAGAGAGGGAGAGAGAGCACAAGCGATCAAGGAAGCCAGAGGGAGGATTTTATTTTATTTTATTCCATGTTCCCATTTCTCGGCTCGTTTCCTCGCAGACTCTCTCACCCCTCCCAGTCTGAGCTCCCCACCAAGGTCGCTTGGCCACTTCCCCCCAACTCTTTCCTTTCATCTTGGCTGTCTCCAGTGACAAGTGGGGGCTGTGAGGGCCCAAAGCCTAGGGATTTGCCAGGATCTCAGCAGCAGAGATAGCAATTTGTCTGAGAACAGAGGTGGGGGGACATCCTGGCACCTCTCTGTGACCTGCCAAAACTCATTTTCTCCCCTCCGTGACTGCCTCTGAGGAGTCACTGGACTGAAGCAGCCCTGCCCCAATCCTAGGCTGGGATTTTTACTGGGAGGAGGTGGTTTGGAAGCAGTTGGGGTGGGATTTACTGGGATGAGGTGGCTTGGAAGCAGTTGGGGTCATAACATCAGGTAGCTTGAAGAGAGAGCTTGGACTGGCTAAATTCTCCTGCAAAGAACAGAAAGGTGAGATTAGGGCTCAGAAATTGGCTCCAAGATTAAGACTGGCTGTCCGTGGAAACCTCACCCTCTTCCTTCTCCATTGCCCTCTCCTGAACTCAAGCCCCCCACCCCACCTCCTGGGAAGCCTCCTCTTCCAGCCTCTATATCTTGAGACCCTTTATTCCCAGCCCCTCTGCAGCCCACCCTTCCAGGTGTTGGGTGCCAGCTCCAGCTTGTCTGAGTCAATCACTCTTGCTGCCCCACCCCCTCACCTGGACTGGGAGGAGGGCTGGATGAGAGGAGGAAAGAGGGGGCGATAAATATGTATGACTAGCGGGTGGCAGGCGGGCAGGCGGCATTAATAACCTGGGATCGCAGTGCTGCAGGGACGGGGATCAGGCAGTGGAGATTCAAGCCCAGCATCTTAGCTCTGCTGTTACTGTCCCCTGTGGACGTATGGTATGTACACACAGGTGTGTGCAAACAGAGGCACCTTCGCTGCCAGCCCTCCTTAGGTACCCAAAAGAGCCTGTAGGCCAGTGTGTTCATTGGGACCATTTGTATACAATTCGAACACACATATTCAGTCATGGGAACACAGACTGCACTTGTTCTGTTGCTGCATACACCCTGTTGGAAAGAGCTTGTCTTGACACAAGGACAGAGGATGATAGAAACACAGATAGGAAAAGTAAAACCATCAGACAATCACACACAGCCACCCTCAGACCACCATGGATAGGCATACAGCCACAAATCGACACACACCTCATTCAGGTCAATCCAGCACATGCCCAGCCACCACAGATTTACACAGCGGACAGACAGCCTCCACAAGCCGGCAGACACATGTACAGCCTCCTCAAACTGACAGTACACACACACACATACAGTCACATACACACACATAGGCACACACACATACAGTCACAGCCACACACTCAGCCACCACAGACTGACATATGTACATGATACGATACCCTAACAGACACACGGAGCTACACGGATAGACAAACAGACACACAACCATTCAAGCTAACAGAAACATAACTGCCCCAGACCGACAAACACACAGCTTCCCCACCCCAACCTGCATGCAGTCAGGGCCACACAGAACAGCACAGTGGCAGCTAGCACAGGCTGACTGACACGCTCCGCTCCTCTCCCTCCCACTCCAGCGCTAGAGCAGCATCTCCATATTTCTTCCTCTGCTCTCTCCTCATCTCCTTCACTCCTGACCAGCCCCCCCCCCATGTACACCCAGATAATTGATGGCCTGGGCCTGGCCTGGCTGCTCCCGCCTCTCTATCCATCTTGTACTCACACAGTGCTGTCTCCCAGATCAGCCGCCACCTGAGACACAGAGAAGGTGGGGTGGCGGAACCAGTGGGCGGCTCCTCCAGCCCCCTTTCAGCCTAAGAAGGCACAAACAGGCAACAGGCAGTCTCCACAGTAGTAGGAGTGCTGATGACCGGGAGAGGTGCCTGTTTATTCCCCAAGCCTCACCCTACAGTAGCAAGGACTCAGCTCAGCCATGTCCTCAGCAGCCCCTCCCTGAAGAATGCTAAGATGCTGACAGGCATGGGCCGTTTGTCTTGATGGAAGTGCAAAGGTCTTTAGCCTCTTTTTCCTTCCTTTCCTTTCTTTTCCTTCCCTTCCCTTTCCTTCCTTCTTTTCTTTTCTTTTTTCCTTTTCTTTCATTTTTATGAGACAGTGTTTCACTATGGTCTTTTTATCGGTACCAGGGATCGAACTCACGACTGCCTGCTTGCAAGGCAGGCGCTTATGCCGCTGAGCTAAATCCCCAGCCCCAGTGTTTCACTATGTAGTTCAGGCTCTCTTCAGTTCACTATGGTAGCCCAGGTTGGCCTTGAATTCTCAGCAATCCTGCCTCAGCCTCCTGAGTGCTGTATGGATCACAGGCCTGTGCCACCAGGCCCAGCTCCTTTTTTTTTTTTTTTTTTTTTTTTTTTTTTTTTTTAGATAGAGTCTCTCCCTATATTGCCCCAGTTGGGGTTGGCTTGTGATTCTTTTGCCTCAGGTTCCCTTGATTCTGTGATTACAGGCATGTACCACTAAGCCAGTTTTGGCTTCTTTCTTATTTTTGCTTGTTTGGTTGGTTTTAACTCCTGTGTAGTTTAGGCTGGTCTTGAACTCACTGTGTAGTCCTGGCTGGCCTCATCATTGTAATCCTCCTGCCTCAGCCTCCTGAGTATTGGGTTACAGGTTTATGTCAGTATGCTCAGCTTTTGGCCTTTTTCTTCAGGCTGGATATTGTAAACCACAGCTCTTCTCTACTCCATAAGGAACATCCCCAAGGCCAGACTAGGGGAGTGGGAGCAAAATTCACTGCCCACTCATGCCCATGCCCACACAGGGCTTTGACTTATGAGGGCACACTGGACCTCTGTGAGAACACAGGGATTCTTAGGTCACTACAGATGCAGAAACAGAGGTTCGGATGGATAAACTTATTTGGCCAAGATCACATAACTTCCAAAGGGTGCAGGTCTACTCCAAGGGACACTCCTGATCGGCCCGCAGTGGACTGCAGGATTCTATTTTGTCTCCTCACGACTAAAACGGCTGGTTGGGTAATAGGCAAGATAATTAGGGTCCACTCCAGCGTCTCGTTGTTTTTCCTTCTCTTTCTTCCTACACAGGCCGTCAGTGCCCAGATACCAGATTCCGGAAGATCGCAGTACCTGGAACTGCACCCAGCCCCGACCAGAGGGCGCACCCCTAGCCAACAGCTCCGGTTGCCTAGGTCTTCCGAAGGCCTGGGCACTGCCCGCGCCTGGAGCTGGGCCTGGCCGGCTAACCACACGGGGGCGCTGGCGCGGGCTGGGTCGGCCGGAGCGCTGCCCGCGCAGCGCAGCAAAATGAAGCCGTCCATCAAAGCGGCCCGCGCCAAAAAGATCTTTGGCTGGGGAGACTTCTACTTTCGGGTGCATACCCTCAAGTTCTCGCTGCTGGTGACTGGCAAGATCGTGGACCATGTGAACGGTACCTTCAGTGTGTATTTCCGCCACAACTCGTCCAGCCTGGGCAATCTCAGTGTCAGTATCGTACCACCCTCAAAGCTCGTGGAGTTCGGGGGCGTTTGGCTGCCTGGGCCTGGTCCCCACTCTCTGCAGTCCACGCTGGCCCTGGAAGGGGTGCTTCCTGGGCTGGGGCCCCCACTGAGAATGGCGGCTGCCGCTGCAGGTCCGGGGCTTGGAGGCTCCCTCGGAGGTGCACTGGCAGGCCCCCTCGGGGGTATGCTGGGAGTGCCTGGGGCCAAAGAGTCCCGGGCTTTCAATTGCCACGTGGAATACGAGAAGACTAACCGCGCGCGCAAGCACCGCCCATGCCTGTACGACCCTTCGCAAGTGTGCTTCACAGAGCACACACAGAGTCAGGCTGCCTGGCTCTGTGCCAAGCCCTTCAAAGTCATTTGTATCTTCGTCTCCTTCCTCAGCTTTGACTACAAACTGGTGCAGAAAGTGTGCCCAGATTATAACTTCCAGAGCGAGCACCCCTACTTCGGATAGCGCCCCGGCCCCGGCTCCGGCCCTGAGCTTCCCGCCAAGTTCCAGCCTCCCCAGAGTAGGGTCCCTACCAGTTCAGTTGCCGGGTGGCAGCGTCCACACCTTCCGCACGGGGGCGGGGCGGGGGGAACAGTCCTCCCCGGATGTCAGCCGGCACAGTTTCCCTTTCTCTTACCAGGAGTTCCCACGAGCCTGGGGTAGCAGCCCCAAAGTAGGCGGGGTCTCGAAGCGACCCCAGGGTCTACTGCTTGCCCACTGGATCCCCTTCCATCCTTGGCGCTGGGCTGGGCACTCCCTTTGCCCAAAGCTTTAATAACGCCTGGCCCCCTCATCATGTCCTGACTTCTTCCAAATGCCTATCTTTCTCCTCCACCATGTCCCCGCCTGCAGACTGTGAAGGCCCATAAGCCTCGGGCTGTCCCCTTTCTCTGCTTGCCGTTTGCTGTCTGCCTTCTCTCCCAGCCTGCGGAAGCAGAGCTCCTAGCTGGGACGTTCAGCCCGGCCCCTACCCGTGCCCCTGCCCCTGCTCTTCCCACCCCATTCTCACTCTTGCAGTCCAGCTCCACCTGACCTTGCCGGCTGCTGCTTCTCGGTAATATTTTTTTTTTCTACGCCAAAACAGAAAAGGGAACAAAATAAAGTGAAAACCACTATGTGTCTGTGTGAGACCTTTGTAGGGATGGGTATGTGGGCTTCTATCAAGCCAAGCACCTTAGGGGTCATTCAACACCAAATCAAAGAGGGCTGAATGTGACCCTTGGAACAGGACCCAAGGAAGGCCAAGGGAAACTGGCAGAGAGGACAGGGGTTAGACCTTAGCTGGGATGACCTGCTGACGATTTGGAAAGACTTGGGGAAGGTGCAACAGAGCGTGAATGGGATGGAGAAGCAGGGACAGCCTAGGCAGAGCACTGACAATCTGCTAAGCTTCGTGGGGCTGGAGGGAGGCGGCAGGTTGGGAGGGAGGGGGATTGGTGTTTGCGGCATCTGGAGTCATCGATCTTCCTTTTCCTTCCTAATTTTGTGGGCGCTGAGTTTGCAGACGGATGAGAGAGGGAGGAAGCACTGGGATGGGGGGAAGGGTGGAGCGTGGTTTGGAGGGCGGGTCGACGTGGCTGCTGCGAGCCTCCAGCAAACACAGGCCCCCTTCAGCCAGCTGCCCACCTTCTCCACCCCCCCCCCCCCCCCCCCCGCCTTCAGCTCCCTCCTGCAGCCTTGGCTGCTAATTTTATCCGCCCCCCAACCCTGGCCCGGACGTTAATTGGCTGTGGCTTCATTAGCAGTTCTCAGCTCTGCAGCCCCCTCCCCTTGGGACCCCTGACTGGGGTTAAGGGGGGGTGCAAACAAGCTGAGACACAGAGGAACTCCTCCTCTTCAGCCTGCCTTCTTTTGGAGCCCTGGGTCAAGGTGTCCACAGGGAGAGCTTAGTGTTGTGTCACAGGATTGCCTAAGCCTCCAGCCCGAAACAGTTAGAAATGGGTCTCACCCAAACATGCCCAATACTGAAAAGTAGGTGAGCAGAAAATAATTATCTGCTGGATGGGCTGGATGTGTAGATAAGTAATAGAATCAAATGAAAGAGGGAGAGGGGTTAGTTCTGGGTCAGATTGTGGGGAAAAGGAAAGCAGAGGTCTCCTAACACATACAGAGAGCCTAGGAGAAAAGCTGAAGTGAAGCACTGAAAGGAAGTTAGAACTAAGGAGAGACTTTTGAGGCCTGGTGTACAAGCCAGGTGGGAATAACTAGAATCAGCAAATTAACCTATCTGGCTTTAGGCCTCAGTTTCCCTTGTAAAGCCCTAAAAAATTAGCATGATGCTTGAGGACCTGGATTTGATCTCCAGCACACACACACACACACACACACACACACACACACACACACACGAGCATACAATGAGGACTGAGACTGTGTATGAACATGCTCATCCAGGGCTTGGCCTCCTCTTCCTGCAAATTCCAAACCTGCTTCCCCTACCCTTTGAGCATTTTGATCTGAAATCAAAGTGAAGTGTCCCTGGATGCTACCGTACCTGTGGAACTTTGTCTCTTGTTCATCTTTTGATGTTCCAACACCCAGTGAGCTCTCTGTGCATCACCAAGGCTATGGCATGTTTGGCATGGAGTCGCAGCCCAATATGTCTTCTGGATGAAGGTGAAATACTGCTGTGTAAAGCATTTATGAGAATCACTGAGGAGAAAGTTGGTTATCTGATTTCAAGATCCATTGAATTAGAATCTCTGAGAGAAGAAATTCCCCTGGAAGGGTCCATAAGTCAGTTCCTCCCTGAAGGGTTTTATTCGAGACCAGTAAGTCTAAAAGGAAAATCCCTTAGCATTCTAGGAATCTGTAGCCTGGAATATAAAGAGCTCTCACTGACTGCTAGTTATGTCAGTGCAACATGTGGATCAGCAAGAGGAGGTACCCCACTTTGCTTTCAGCTAAGGAGGAGATGGCCATGGAGGAGGCAGGTTTGCGAGTTAGAGGAGGACAGTCCATGGAAGAGCATGTTCACACACAAAGTCTCATTTAAACCTCACCACATGCTATTTTATTATGGCTTCACAAATGAGGAAACTAAGGCCAAGATAGGCTAATTTGCCTGAGTTCTGAAACTGGAACTAAAACTCAGGTCTCCAACCCTATCAAACCTGCCAACTTCCACTGTGCCATGGTCCTCTATCTTGTATCAAAATCCAGATCTCCCAGAGTTTAATAATTCTAAAGCCAGGTGCGGTGCTGCGTGCCTGTAATCCTGGCACTCCAAGGCTACAGCAAGAGACCAGCCTGGGCTACACTGTGAGTTTGAGGCTAGCCTGAACTACATAGCAAACCCCTGTCTCAAAAAAATAAATGAACAAAATATTGACTCTTCCAAAGGCATCCAGTCAGTGCTCATTTGACAACTGACAGGAAAAAAGAAACCCTGAGGACAAATTAGAAAAAAAAGAAAGAAAGAAAGAAAAGAAAAAGAAAACTGAAACGTTTTTAAGATTATGCAGTCGCCCTGCATGTCTTTTTTGGGGGGAGGACAATGTTGTCAGGGTGGAGGGTGGGGGTTGAGAGTTGGCAATGTAGTGCATGCTGGTAATACCAGCACTCAGAAGGCTGATGCAGGAGGATCACTGCGAGTTCGAGGCCACCGTAGGCTACACAGTGAGCTCAAGAACATCCTGAACTACATAACAAGTTCCTGTGTCAAAAAAAAAAAAAATCTGTCTTGGCAGAATTTTTTTGGTATACCCCTAAACCCTGGGGGTACCGATGGAGAATGAGATGGAAGAAAAAACTACAATTCCCAAAAGGCCATAAAGGGTCTTCTTCGCGCATGCGCAGGTTCCTCCCCTTCACTTCGGCTTCCCGGGTCGTTCTTTACGCGCGCAAGCGCCCCGGGGCCGGTCTTCTTCCGACCTCTTGCTGCTGGGTACCAGAGTTGGTGGCTAGACCTCCTGCTACCTCGCTTAAAGATGCTCCCCTTCCCTTTGTTCTGGGCAGCACGGGTAAGAACGGGATTCCAGATACTGGGTGATCAGTGGAAAGTCTCTACCCCCTACGTTAGTTCCCATCTTCATACTTTGGGAATCTCCTGGGTTTTCTAGCCCACGTGCCTTAGGGGCACAGGGAGTGAATCCCAAAGTTAGAAATCCCGGAGACCCATAGGCTCTCGTGGGGTGAACTGGGGCCCACCATTCTAGCGGTCAGACGCCCCAGGGCCTCATGACCGTCCATTTCACGTGGCATTAAGAGAGAAAAGCTCTTCGGATACCAGGCAGACACTATGCTGGCAAACAAGCGGGCTTCCCAGCCTCAGCCTGCCATGGGAGCCCTTCCCACCAGACCTCTGCCATGCAGATGATGCAAGCAAACTCCACTGCTTTCATCAGGCATCCACTAGCAGTGGAAGTAGCTGGAAGTGGAAAGCGTGAGGGGCAAATGGGACAGGTTTGGTCTTTGCCTTTGCCGGCAAACAGGCTCTCCCCCCGCGAAACCCCACTCCACATCCCTTTCCCAGAGACTGCTACAGATCTGTTCTCACACCTCCATTGCTCTGGAAACCACCTTTGCAGCCATTGCCTTTGACTTCTTTCCACTTGGTCTCTTCCTCCAACCTGAGTACTAGTTTGTGTTCCTGCAGGAAAGCCCTTTTGTTCCTGTGGGCAGGGAGGTTCTGGAATCTCTAGCAGTCTCCTGACTGTGGGAGATAGGGGCTTCTGTAGTGCAGGTTTTTGGTCTATGGCTTTGCAGAGTGGTCATGGGGCAAAGTGGAAGGAGATTCTGAGATGAGATGAGTGGAGTCTATCAGAATACCCCCTTTCTTGGGAGACAGAGGCAGGAGGGTTACATACGGGACCCTGTCTTGAAATAACAACAACAAAAATTCCCCAAACAAAAACTGCCCTTTGGACATTGATCTCAATCCTAGCTCTAGACTGGCTTTTACTGTGGAAGTGGTGTTGAAAAAACAGGAACAGTCTGGCTGGGCAGCTTGTTGCCTGGTACAGACCAGAGTACATTATGAATGTTGTGTCTAAGAGTGCTTGGGAGACCTTTTCTAAACAATTTTTGTTTGACCCTGACTTTTCCTGCCCCTAGCCTCTGCAGAGATGTAGTCAACTGGTCAAGATGGCTACTCGAGCTCAGCACAGCAAGGCAGCCCAGACTCAGGCTGGGGAGGGAACTCAGGGCTGGACCGGCCAGGAGAGTCTCTCAGACAGTGACCCTGAGATGTGGGAACTGCTGCAGAAGGAGAAGGACAGGCAGTGCCGTGGCCTGGAGCTCATTGCCTCAGAGGTAGGACCCAGGGAAGTGGGGAGGGTAGGCCATAGGGTAGGTACAGAAAGTAACAAGTTATCTTCTTGCTACTTATCCAGATCTCCCTGTCTTCCTCAGGGCCTTTCTGCTGGGCCTTATCATCTTCTCTTTACTGTCCTCTGAAGCAAAGGCAGAGCGGGTCCAGTTTATGGGGTTGGGGCATTAGAGAGCTTCCAGAGGCTTCTAGAGTCCCTACAATTTCATCTGTCCCACTCTGTCCCTCCCAAGAGGAAAGAGGAGCCTGGAGATACAAGTCTGAGCAGACAGGTTGGGGACACCCATCACAGCTGCTGAATTGCCAAGAAAGCTGCTTCTGGCTCTGCCCACACCTGGCAAGGAACCCAGAGTGAACAGAGCTTCTTGTGCAGCCAGGCTCCCGCTGCAGCCTTGGGCTCTGGCAGGGAGGGGCTATGGGGACTCAGGGAAAGGGGCTCAATACCTTCTGACATTGCCCCCCCACCACCCCAGAACTTCTGCAGCCGAGCTGCGCTGGAGGCCCTGGGGTCCTGTCTGAACAACAAGTACTCGGAGGGTTATCCTGGCAAGAGGTGAGGGCTAGGCACCAGAGGGCTGGAGGGCAGCGTCAGGGATGGTACTCCCAGTGGTGGAACCTTCCTGTACCCTCCAGGTGCTTATGGAACAGTGACCTTCCCAGTCCTTTGCTCTTGGTCGAGGATCCTTTTTCTGTGCCCTTATGTACCCCTTTGCATGGCAGATACTACGGAGGAGCAGAGGTAGTGGATAAAATAGAGCTGCTGTGCCAGCGTCGCGCCTTGGAAGCCTTTAACCTGGATCCTACCGAGTGGGGAGTCAACGTCCAGCCCTACTCAGGGTCCCCAGCCAATCTGGCTGCCTACACAGCCCTTCTGCAGCCTCATGACAGAATCATGGGGCTGGATTTGCCTGATGGAGGCCAGTGAGTATAGATACAATGGATGATGGGTTTGATGGGCAGTATTGATATGGAAAAGTTATTCATTGAATACCTGCTGTATCTTATACAAATGGGAGATGCCTCTCCCTATCTTGCATTGTCACAAAAATAAGGAAGACAAAAGCCCCAGTCACATCAGGGCCCACCACAGAGTGGACAGAGCAAGGAGGGTGGGGCAGGTTAGGACAGTGTTGTAAGGATGGGGACCTGTGGATTAGGGGGTTGTTCCGCTCAGGCCTGGTTACTTCTCACTTCCCAGTCTCACCCATGGCTACATGTCTGATGTCAAGCGAATCTCTGCCACATCTATCTTCTTTGAATCAATGCCCTACAAACTCAATGTGAGTGTTCCTGGGTGTGGGAGGTAACTGCTCTAGCCCTGGTATTTTTTTCCTGGGCAACAGGAGGGTCTGACTCTTCCCCTCCAGGCAGCCCTCAGGGTCAAGGTCGAGTGCAAATGCCTACTGCTGTGTCAGGGCTTTAGCTGTTTATCTGTTTGTCCAGCCTCAAACTGGCCTCATTGACTATGACCAGCTGGCACTGACTGCTCGGCTTTTCCGACCACGGCTCATTATAGCTGGTACCAGCGCTTATGCTCGCCTCATTGACTATGCCCGCATGAGAGAGGTTGGTGGGGGCTGGCATACTGGGCACTACCCTGAGAGGTGGTGGGGAGGGGCAGCCTTGAGCCTGTCTGGGCCTTCCTGGAACTGAGGCCTGTCTTTCTATCCGTCCAGGTGTGTGATGAGGTCAAAGCATACCTGCTGGCAGATATGGCCCACATTAGTGGCTTGGTGGCTGCCAGGGTGATCCCCTCACCTTTCAAGTATGCAGACATTGTCACCACTACCACTCACAAGACTCTTCGAGGGGCCAGGTCAGGTTCCCCTGGGGTTGAGCCTTGCTTGTCCCTGCCTTCACACCCTGTTCCCCAGGTGGGACTGAGAGGAATGGGTTCCCACCTGCAGTCCCAAAGACATCTACCCATTCTGCCCTTTCAGTTTTTCTCTCACCTGTGACGGCCATTCCTCAGCAGTAGAGCTGGGGAACCAATCCTTTTACCATTGGAATCCAAGGCATCAGGCACAGTGGAGGGAACTTGCCCCTCAAGAGCCAAGCTAGCCAGCTCTCTCTGCTCTCTCCATCCTTTGTTCTTTGATTTCAGCCTAGATTCTGACCACCAACCTTCCACACAGGTCAGGACTCATCTTCTATCGGAAGGGGGTACGGGCTGTGGACCCTAAGACCGGCCAGGAGATCCCTTACACATTTGAGGACCGAATCAACTTTGCCGTGTTCCCATCCCTGCAGGGGGGCCCTCACAATCATGCCATTGCTGCAGTTGCTGTGGCTCTCAAGCAGGTTGGGGACCCTGCCCCTGTGGGGTAGGTGGGTGGGGGCAGTGGTCTAGAAGCGTGGATTCTATACCTTGCAGGCTAGAGTTGAGATTAATGGAAAGGCTGTGCCAGTATGGGAGGGTTGAAGGCTGAGGCCACAGAGTCATCCTTGTTGGGTATGGAGAAGCAGAAGGGGTAGGCAGGAGGTCTAGGGTCACAGGTGCTTCTGTGTCATCCCCAGGCTTCTACCCCCATGTTCCGGGAGTATTCGCTGCAGGTTTTGAAGAATGCTCGGGCCATGGCTGATGCCCTACTACATCGAGGCTACTCACTGGTGTCTGGTGAGCCAGCAGGAGGGTGAGGGCCTTTGTAGCCTCCCAGCAGAGGCCCAGGAGTCACCATTACCTGATTATAACCCTCCTTAGGTGGCACTGACAACCACTTGGTGCTGGTAGACCTGCGGCCCAAAGGCTTGGATGGAGCTCGAGCTGAGCGAGTCCTGGAACTTGTGTCCATTACTGCCAACAAGAATACCTGTCCTGGAGACCGAAGTGCCATCACCCCTGGGGGCCTACGGCTTGGTGAGACCTGGGGTTCAAGGAGGGAGGGCCTCCTACACTGTGGCTGCCCCAAGGGCTTGGCTATGCTAATCTTCTCTGCTGTGGCTCTTCTAGGGGCCCCAGCCCTTACCTCTCGACAGTTCCGTGAGGATGACTTCCGGAGAGTGGTAGATTTTATTGATGAAGGGGTCAATATTGGATTGGAGGTGAAGAGCAAGACTGGTGAGTAGGCAAAGAAAGAACCCCCGCAACCAGCCCATTTACACCACCATCCACTCCCTCCCCAGCCTGGTCCCACTGCCTTGCCTAGATCTCTAACCATGCTTTTGTCCTCAACTCTCTCTAGCCAAGCTGCAGGATTTCAAATCCTTTCTGCTCAAGGATCCAGAAACAATCCAGCGTCTGGCCAACCTCAGGCAACGGGTGGAGCAATTTGCCAGAGCCTTCCCCATGCCTGGCTTTGACGAACACTGAAGGCACCTGGGAATTGAGGCTTACAGACTGTCTTCCACCCTACCTAGTTTGGTGGAAGAGGATATCACTTACCTATTTTTTGGTGATAGAGAGAACCCCCTACCCCAGCTAAGCTGTTCAGGGCAAGAGCCAAGTACCATCTCTCTTCCCAAAAATTATAGCTTTCTTTTTTGTAATCAGACTTAGAACTACCACCACCACCACCCCCGTGCCCCAGCTTTCTGCCTTTTTTGCCATTATCTCAGTGTTACTTTGGCTCTTTTTGGGGCAGAGAGGGTTATCCTGCTGAGCCAGAGAAAGGGGTGGGCAGGTACCCTCCTTCCTGTTTTTATCTAATAAAATGCTAACCTGCCCTGAGTTTCTATTATGTGGGAGGGGTCCCCTGGGCCAACCAGTGATTCCAAGATTTGACTCCCTCAACATTTATTCCTCCCTCTCCTCCCACCACCAACACAAGGACCCCCGGGGCTGCAGCCTCCTCTCTCTGTCTCTGATCAGAGCCGACACCAGACATGATTAGCAGGCGCAGCAAATTCAATTTGTTAAATGAAATTGTATTTTGCCCACGGCTGCTTCTGTTTGATCCCAGGGGACTGAGGGGAGCAAGGGAGGGGAGAGGTGGGGAGCGACACAGGGAGGCCCAGGTGCTCTATGCTATGGGTGGGGGAGGCAGTGGGCTTGGGCATAGGAGGAGCTGCTGCTTGGCATGGGTGTCCCATCTGGGCAGGCTCGGCAGCCAGAGTCAAGCCTGAACAGCGCCACCCCAGGCCTGGCACTCTCAGAGTTCAGGCAGACGGGCCTGCCACGTCCTCACTTGGCACTCAGAGGCCCCTGCTTGCTCTTGGCTCACGTAGGCCACGCTCAACACTTATTCTGTGCCACACCCTGCAAGTGAGGGGAACTGAGTAGAGGGGCTGGTTTGGGCCTTTGGGGCCAAGGACCCAGCAGCTGCTGGCTGTCCTGACTCCCTTCCCCCACATGGGACTGAGGCCAAGGGTCAGAGTTGCTTCCGCTGCTGGGATCAAGAGAGGGGGGTAAGGGTAGAGCTGCCTCCCCTCTTCCGTGGGAACCTGGCCTGTGTAAGCAAGAGCTAGACAAGATCTCAGACTGACACCCTGCAGTCTGAGAGGGAGCAGTGGAAGAAGTCAATTCATGGTTTTCATCGAACTAGCAGCCCAGCCTGGTTTAGAAGTCTGGCCGGTCCTTCTTCAGCTTCTTATAATCAGTGGAAACTGCAAGGAACTAGGAGAAGGAAAAAAAGGTTGCAAACTCCCCTTTACTCCCAGTATAGAGGAAACCAAGAGATGAGAAGGGGAAGCCACGCAGTACCATCGGACTGTACCTTATATTGGTCATTGGGGCTCAAGCGATTCCAGGGTTCTGGGTTGTTCTTTCTGTCCCAGCTGTGGAGGAGAAGGGAGGGTTAGTATCTCCTGTCAAAGCCAGGACTCCAGCTGAAGGGTTCTGAGTTCAGGCAGGGTCTCTGTTCCCACCCTAGTACCCTCACCCCTGTCTCCTACTCTGGGGAGGTCCCATTTCCTAGAGACAGATGGGGAGGGGGCATGTTAGTTGGTGCTGACAAGTGAGACAAGAAGCTTGTCACCATTGTCAGTGTGGAGCTTGGTGACAGAATGACAATTCAGCCTAGGAACTCCCTCCTCTCACTGCCACCCTAGATTAACCCCTCAAAGCAGAGTCCTGGGAATCCAGCAGGGATCCTGATGGGTAGGAATTTCAGTAAATTCCAGCAAGATAGTGAGTAGGAGCTCTTTTTGCTACTTTTTCCACTATGCCCTATGTAACCTCCAGCAGAACATGTTTTAGGTGTTACCTGGGGGCCCCAAGAGCACCCCTCATAGTTTACTCAGCCATAACCCCAATGCTTCTGCAAGGAGAAGAGGTACCCAAAAGCCTGAAGCAGCTGGCAGAGCAACATTACCATAGCAACCAGGACAGGAGCTGTATGGGTTTCAAGGCCCCAGAACCCACAAAGTCCACCAGAAAAGAGAACAGCCAGTTTGGCCCAAGGGGAAATGCAGAAACTTCCTGGGTAGGAGTCAGATCCAGCCCTGAGACTTCAGGCTGTTCTATGAGAGGTACACAGTCTGGGCATCCCTGCTAGGACCACCTACTCCCATTTCCTCTCCCCTTCGCTTTGTCCCAACCAGGACCCCTGCCTTCAAACCAAGCCCAGCCTTTACCAGACATCAGGACTGCGCAGGGCAAGTCTCAGCAAGTAGAGCGCAGCACTGCCCATGCCAAGGCCGATGAAGCTGATCATTGGAATGAGCTGTATGAGAAGTCAGAGGGTATTTTCAGGGCCAGTCCCCTCTGTCCAGTTCCCACTTGCTCTTTACCAGCTTCCTTGCTTGCCCCACTTCCACCCAAGTTCTAGTCTTCCCTCTTTCAGAAAGAGAGGAGCTGGAACCTCCCATAGCCACATTCCTGGTCGCTTCTGACAGTTATCCATCCTAGGATCCAGGGATATGATACACTTGCAGGAATAGCTTGAGGGGTCTCTGAGGATATTGGGAACTTTGGGGGAATTGGACAGGGGGCAGGACTCTAGGGGAAACTTGGGGACTTGGTAGTGGGACAGCAAAAGTTAGGAGTTAGAGCCCCACTCACTGAAAGACTGAACTCACCCCAGGATGTTTTTTGATCTGCCGATAGACACGGGCTCCGAGGCTGGTTCCTGCCATTTCTCCTTCCCAGTGTCTGGTCCTCTCTAGTGCCTCTGCTGTATCCCTCTTCCTGGGATCCCGCCCCCCAATGGGGAGGGGTCAGCCTAGCCCAGCCCAGCCCAGCACAGCACAGGCCTCTCCAGACTCACCCCACCCTTCTCAGTTTGCTTCTTTGACAATTCCAGGCCCCAAGCAAATAAATTGTTGGCGGAAACTGGAGATTTCTGTACCCCTACTCTCCTCCAGACACCTGCACCCTGGCTCATGGGACTTCATCATATCTAGGGTTTTGGGTGTTTGAGGGAGGGAACTCAAGTATTCAGAGACTAACTGAAAGGGAATCCAGATGTGGAACAGGCAAGCAGATAGATCTCTAGCAAAATGCACGTATGTGGAGTGTTCAAAGGAAGGCCTGGGGCAGTAAGGGCAACTGCAGCCTCTTCCCGATACTCTTGGAACTACCCAGGAGCTACAAGGTCCTGAGAACCCTGGTTCTTTGAGTCCATGGTGGGTGGGAGGAAGGGACAGGTGATCTCACTAAACATACCCAGCACCCCCATGGATTTGGGTGGGTTCTCCAAATTGTGGTTGCTCTGAAGGAATAGTGACTTGAGGCTGGAGAAACCAGATGTATCTGACCAGGACACGGGATAGAGACATGAGTTTTGGGCATTTGGTGGAGAAAGAGGCTGGAAGTGCTTTCCTGCTTGAAGTGGTAGTAAACGTGGGGGTCTGCCTTGGAGGGCCCACTCTGGCTGTGGAACCAGGGAAGAGAATGGAATGAAGGAATAGTCAAAGATAGAAAAGATGCTGAGGTAGGAAGAACACGCAGAGACACAACTGAGGAGCTATTACTTGGTTCCTCAGCCAGTTCAGGTATATGCTGGCCTGCCAGGGTGGGAAGGCTCCCTACTCTTGTCTGGGGATTTGGGGTCTTGGAGATGCAGGAGCCCAGCCCTTGTCTCCTCTCCCATGCTAATATTCACCACCCCTCCCATCTCTGCCCTGGATCTGCCAGAGCCCACTGTATGGGCAGCAGGGGTGAGCTAGGCACCCACTGCTGGGCCCCTGGGGGCACAGGGAGGGAGAAGGCCACTCCTATGGGCCCCCTCCTTTTCTCGCACCCTGTTACCTCCCCCACCCCTTATGCTGACAAGCTGGCTGTAATTAGGCTGCGGGGTCCCCAGCTCTCCGCCTCCTTTAGGCGGATAATGAGATAAAGTGTCAGAGACACAGTGAGAACAAAGAGACAGAGACTCACTGCGATGTGTGTGTGGGGCGGTGGAGGAGGAGGGCTGACAGGATGTCAGAGCTTCAAGCAGCGCAGAGCCCTGCCTGAGCGCCTGCACATCCAAGCTGGGCCTTGGAGGGGGTGTCCTGTCGCCGTGCCCCCAGCCCTCCAATCTCTGGTACTTAAAATCAGTCCCAGAGCTCGAAGCTTGAGCAGGCGCCCAGCTGGGCTGCACATCTGGTACTCTGTGGCACAGCTGTGGAAACAGGGCAGGGAGGGAGGCCTGGCCCTGGGGCCACGCCCTTTGGCTCTGGGTTGCTTGTCACTTCTTCCTCCCTTCTTCTGCGTTCTAGTGAACTGCACCTGGCCCACCCAGATCCTCCATCCTGCTTCTGTCGCAGAACTACTACTCTTCCTTCCCTGGGCCTGCTCTCTGAGCTCCAAAGTTATATTTTTCTGTTTCTTCCCAACGATTCCTTGACCCTTTACTACCTTCTGGCCCAAGTTTTTGACCTTCTAAGTTCCCTTCCCATCCCTAGATCTTGGGCCCTGAGGTCCAGCTGGAATGTAGAACTCATTGGGTTCCGGATCCCATTTCTCCCTTCTTTGGACTTTCCTACCATAACGATTAGGACCATTCTTCAGGTGTGAGGTGGGTCCAGTGGGTTAACGGATTCTGCGCGGCCGGGGCTCCCGCCGAGACTACACTGTGAAATCTAAACCGTACCAGGATTCTAACGCTGGATGTGGCGTCGCAGCCAAATGCAGCTGGACTTGTCAAGGAGGCAAGCGGTGGCCACAAAGGCCATGGGCATGGGTGCCCCCTGGAGGCCGAGCGGCTCCTAAACTCGGGAAGAGGCCTTGGGCTCCCCCTTTCGGGGAGGCGTCGGCCCTATACTCCCAGCGTTCTTTCAGGGAAGTCTGCGCCTGGCATGGAGATTCCCTCCTGCCTGGCCACTCTGGCTACTCCCGCCACTGAGGCAATGGGGTCCCTCAGTCTCCATTCGTCAGTTGTGAGGTGGGGCCAGAAGGTGAAGAGGCGACGCAGAAAATTCCGCCTTGACAGCTGTCAGCATCACCTCAGGTTCAGGCTGGTCCCTCTCTCCAGGCTGGCCTCCGATGCCTTCGGCAGCTCCATCCCGCTTTGAGGCTGTAGGTCCGGAGACTGCACTCTGCCCTTTGACCTGGCCTGCCTTTGCCTTTGACTGCCCCTTTTTTGCCTCTTCTTCAGGCTCTGTCTTTTTAAAGTATGCCTACATTGTATTCTGGCTGCATCTGTCTCTCTTCTGCTGTCTCTACTTTGCTTTGTCCAGTATCTGTTTCTATCTTTCCATCTCTGCCTCCCTGCCTGTCTTTGGAAACTCCTTTCTCTGTCTCCCCTACTGCTTACCCCCTCATTCTTCAGCTCTATTCCTATTTTGACTTGCTGCCCCTGGGGGCTGCACCAGCCCAACTGGACCGCCTAAGGACACCTTGTGGTACTGCTCAAGGTCCACTTCCTGGTCACCTCCACATGTCCATCTTCTCAGCACAGCCTCAGTCTTACCGCTGCCTCAGCTGTGGGCTATGAGTGGGACACCTGGAGGGAGGGAAGCACAGTGCCCAGCATCTGCTCAGGAGCCCCAGGGCCTCTGACCCCCTCCGCCACTATTAAGGGCTCCAGGTCCCGAGGCTCTGTGAGATGATCATGATTGCATCAGCCAGACTGAAGCAGAGCTGGGAGCCTCGAAGCAGTGCAAGTGCGCAAGCGAGCAAACGAAAGAGACAAAGACACCCGTGCCATCTGTTTATGCAAAATGCTCTCCACCAGGGACCCCAGGGTCCCAGTGCCTGGCCCAGTTTGGGGCACGGGGGTCATGAGTCCTCTCCCGCCTGGCACCCCAGCTGAGCCCGGGCTTTCCCACTCTCCAGCACAGAAGGGGCCATGGGGCGAGAGGAACTGGAAGCAGGTAGGGGTGTTGATGTGATTGGAGCAGACGCGGCTGTTTCTTCAATAATGGATGGAGAGGATGCGGACGGTGGAGCTGAGCCGGCCAGGAGAGGAGAGAGGAATAGAAATTGGGGAGGGGGGCGGGAGACTCACCCAGACACTCCCACTCGAGCATGCTAACGAAAGCAAGAGCACGCGCACACTCACACACACACCGAGACTGCACACACACTGAGATGCACACACATGGGTGCGTGCCACACTGTCATTCGGGTACACGCCACTGTGTGGCTCACACCCAGGCACACACCCACGCACTGTCACCAAGATACACACCTGCTGGTGGAGACGCCAGAGCTACACACACACACACACACACACACACACACACACACACACAAGCAGCTCTCCTGGAGACAGATACTTGGAGATGCCTGAATGGGGCACACCCAGGCGTGACCAGAGCACAGACACATGCCAAAGCAGCAAGAACATCCAGACACCTAGACATCCTGAGGTTTCGACAGAAATTGCGGAGATCAGTGTGGGTGGCAAGTGGACAAACTCCACAATACGAATAGGTTCAGGGGCACAGATATATAGTAATAGAAAAGGCATAAACTACGCCTGGGGTTCAGTACATCTCACACTCCCAATGCACAAACCCATCACAAATCAGGGGTATAGATCCCCACTAGACACATTCATCTCAGGCTTTCCACTCATGCAGGATCTGCTATCTGTGCCCACCCCCCAGGTGGAGGTGGCTGAGAGGTCACCAAGACTCTCTGAGTAAGCCTTGTTAACCTAGCAGTATAACAAGGAGGAGGCAGTGGCGGAAGCGCCTGGGGCTGTGGACTCAGGCCTGAGGTCTCCCTTGACTGCCTGCAGGCTCCCTTCCCTTCTGCAGTGGTGTGGACCTTGCGACGCTGGGGCTACAATTCCAGGGTTGCTGGGGGCCCCAGCTTGAGCTTTTTGGGAGAGAAGGAGCCAAAGGGGTGGCACATTGGTGGCACTGGTTGCTGAGAAATTCTCAGAATATTAAACTGGCTTGCAAGATAAGAGTTGAAGAAAGGATAGTTCCATATCCCACCTCATTTTCCATGCTGCTCAGTCTTTGGACTTCAAGGAGCTTCCCCCTCCTCCTTTTGAGATAGTCTCCTAGTGTGGCAAGGCTGGCCTCAAACTCTCCCTTCTCCTGTTCCAGCCTCCCAAGGGGGAGGGAGGTAGGGGGATGACAGGCATTGGCCACCACATCACAAATTTTTTTTTTTTAATAATGGAGTAGACTTTGGAGGAGTGGGATGCAAGTTGAGTCCTGGACCCTAGTACCCCAGCCTTTTCTCTGATCTATTTTCAATTCAGTCTGCTCCTTGGCCTAGACTTATGACCTTTGTGGTGTGCAGCTGCATCATCCATCACCCAGGCGGCTGCTTGTGGGAGTGGGAGGCAGTGGGGGACTCAAATATGGCTGCTGTCATGCCTGCAGCTGTCTCCTGGGATTTGCTTCCCAGTCTAAAAGCCAGGGCTCCACTAGTTTGAAGAGTACTGAGAGAAAGGGCATGACCAGGGGGCTCCATCATGACACTGTGTCCTGTGTTCCCACAGCTGGAGCCCTAGCACCCCTCCTTTGAGCTCAGCACAGCCTGTCTCCCCGTTCCTCCCGCCCCTCTTCTCTTGGGCCTTTTGCTTAATTTCCTATTAACTGCTGATAAATCCAATTAAACCTCCACTCTAATTAGGGACAGCTGCTGGCTGGGTAAGGCTAGGGAGGGGGCATCCCCCCCCCCAGTGTAGGGGAAGAACAGCCGCTCTCCCCGCTCCTCGACACCCCCACACCAGCGTCGCCACCCAATGAGCCAGTAAATTGGCTTTATTTCAGCATTGTGTTTGGGGAGGGTCTCCAAGATCTTGGGGAAGGGACTCCAGTTTTGAGTTCTTCAGATCATTTGATGAATAGGAACAGTCCAAGCCCTCAGCTGTCCCTCCTTGCATACCTTCAAGGTAGGTGATTCAGAAGAAAAATGGGGGCCAAAACTATGTTGACTTTCATGACTGGAATGTGTGCATGTGTCCATGATCGTGATTAAAGGAGAGCTACCTGAATCTTCCTGTATGAACCCGAGAATGCCCCCAGGCATTTGGGACAGTCAAGGGCAAAGGGAACAAGAAACTGAACCGGGTTCTGCCGCGAGTAATCTTGTGTGCTTCCCTACCCCCTCTTCACATCTCGGCCTTCGGTAAGAAAGGGGTGGGGGAGCGCGCCTGTCCCGGGGCCCTCCTCTTCCCTAGCCCAGCTGAGCCTCTGCCCTCCCCCGCCAGCAGCAGATGGTGCCCGGGCTCCTGCTGCCAACCTTGCTAGGCGATGCCAACCTCAGTCCTGGTAGACAACGGGGAGGCAGGAATAGGAGCTCTAGCTGGCCAGGCTGACCCTCCCCCACCCATTATCAAGCTCAAGACCCTCTGCCTGCCCCACTCCAGCAACCACCCCAGACTGTCTCTCACTGGTCTGTTCCCAGGTCCCCAAACTCCTCGTCTCCTTCTGCTCGTTTCCCCATACCTTCTCTCTCCTCGCCACCTGCTGCCCTGACCAGGGCCGGCGTATTTGCATATTCGCATATGCAAATAACAACATTTGCATACGATGCACCGCAGGGGGCCTCCCCACCAGAGCCGGTTAACAGTCGGCCCAGCGTCCTCTCACTGGGTACCTGTCGGAAAGGGCTGGGGCAGGGGCCGCGCTGGAGGGACTAACTCCCGCCCCCCGGCCTCGATAGCTCTGTTCCCCGAGGCCTTGAGGAAGTGTTGCCATGGAGATGGCACGCACCCCACCCCCCTCCTAGGCCTAGGGTCTCGGGCTTGGTGTCTCTAGTTCTCTTCCCTTATCCACTCTCCTCCCGCCCCTGCCCGTTCCTCGATCTCCAACTGAGATCTTGCACCGCCCCCTGGCGGCCCAGCTCGGCGCTGAGCCAAGTTCTGAAACGAAAGGGTCAGTGGGCCGCTAAATAGCCAGCAAGAGCTAGAGGGATCTACTCTGTTACTAGATCCTTGCTCCCAGGCACACCAGGCACAGGGGCAGCTGGGTGGCGACTCCAGTCCGGTTCGTTGTTCTTCTCTGCTTGCAGTGGTCTAGCCAGGTGGGTTACCCGATAATAGTAAGGTGGGACAGCTGGAAAGCATTCTTCACTCCCCTGCAAAGCTTTCTTTTGGTCCCCAGTGAAATAACAAAGTTTAATATTTTTGTCAAAACTTTAATAAATTTGCAACATTCGACAGTTTGTCCCCGAGACAACCGTCGGTGCCTCTTGCTGGAGAAGCATTTATTTTCCAGCTATTGCAGGCTGTGCTCGAGGGGTTGCAGGTGAAGGCTGCTCTGGGCACCAGGTAACCGAGGCCCTAGGCCCGGAGGAGGCGGGAACCAGTCCCTTCCCAGAAACTCCGTCTTGCTTTGGCAGGCCTTCCCCAAGCAGCAGTCTAGTTGCTTTCGCCCCTTTCCTCCCCAACCTACACTGGGCCTGCCCAGAATGGGGATGGGTGTCTCCTGCCTGCAGGTTACTCGCACACCTAAATCTCCTCCAGGAAGTCGGTGGGGAACAGCCCCACCTTGCGGCCGGTGTAGACTTTGACGTAGCCGCCAGCTTCATCTCCTTTCTGCACCACGATCTAGGGCAGAGATGGCAAACCTTTTAGAGATCAAGTACCCAAACTGCAACCCAAAACCCACCTATTTATTGCAAAGTGCTAATGCTGCAATTAAAACTGAATGCTTAGATTTTACTTTAGAAAAAACAACTTTCCCGATGCTCGGCTGCTGGGGTGATTTGGCTCTCATGTCCACAAGTCTCTATGTGCCTGCTGCAGCACGTGTGCAATAGGCTTGCTACCACTGATCTAAGGTTAAAAGATTAAGGAGTAGGAAAGGAATCAGGGGAAAGTCAGAACACAAGAAACTGAGGTTACACAGGCTTGCCCTATTCTCGTTAATGGTTTAAGTAAGTAAGCCAAGCAGTATGGCTGGCTGAAGAGCAGTGAGGCCTGGGTCTGTTTGGGTGGGTGCACTACAGCTACCTGGTCCTTCTTGAGAGTGATCTGCCCTATTTCACGATTCCCCACGAAGGATCTTGTTACACGGTGCACCCGTTCTCCAGCCCGGACCCGAATGATGAAGTTTGGTGGGAAAAATCCAACCTTCTCCCCAATCTTCCCCTAGAGAAGTAGGGAGAATCAATTTCTCTCAGGTTCTAGACTCAACTCATAACCGGCCCTAGCCCCAGGCATTCCTCTTACCCGCCACCACTCCTCATTGGAATCATCAATGACTGTGATCTTTTCTCCTGGCCTGAGAGAGGAGGGGAGGGTTCTCAGTCACATAATAGTTCCTGGCTGGGCCCCAGGTCCAGCCCCACAGGCTCCAAGCATGGAGTTCACCCTTTCTCCTTCCAATAGGAAGCCCAGCTCTTCCCTCTTCGCTCCCCCATACTTCCCTCCCCTGCTGTAAAGGCCTCTCACGGGAAATCCAGATCGTCCTTCTCCAGGGCTTTGAACCGATAGAGAGCCACAAAATAATGAGACTGCTGGAAGCCAGGTTGCTTGTGCTGGGGGTGAGAGTGAGTGATGAGTTTCAGCATTCCCCTCCCCACATGGAGGGCCTCTTTGAGGCTCTACAATATCCCAACTCTCTTCTGGGTTCCTGAGCCGACAGGAGGGTGCTGGGTGTGTGTGAATTGAAGGAGAGGGCAGTAGAGTGGGACGGGAACTTTGGTTGAGGTGGTCAGTGGCATCAAACCTGGTTGGGGAGGATTCTCACTTTGTCATCAGGGGTCTTCTTTTCAGCCTTCTTGTTCCCTTCAGGGTTTCCTGGGATGGGAAACATGGAAAAATTGACCTGCTTCCTGCAGCCTTCATTCTTTTGTCCTTGTATTGGAGGGGCTCCTGCATCACCAAATCTGGGTTACCCTTTACCTCTCCATCCCCTCTGCCACAGCTGAGCTCCTGACATAACCTCATCTCTATGGATGGAGGTGGGTGACACTCACCATCCTGGGCTTTGCCTTCCTCTGGCTTGGCTGACTCTGGCTCCTCCTCCATCATGGCTGCTAGAGACTAGAAGGGGAATTAGAGTTAGGGAAATATTACCTTGGGAACCCATGCTTGTCCTGGCTTTCTATAGTCAGGCCAGAGAACTGCAGAATAATAGGATCTCAGGTTGCAAGGAGACTTGGGGAAAATATTTAATCCTAATACAGAGACCTCCTCTGAAATATGCTGGCAGGTTACCCATATGCTTGGATGTAATGATGACAGGAAGTTTACTACCTTACAGAGCAACCCCACAGAGTTGAGGATTAGCTCAGTGGTAGTGCTTGCCTAGCATATGCAAGGCTGTGTCTGATCTCCAGCAGCACAAAGAAAAAGTAACCCTATGCAATTTGGGAGTAATTCCTTATATGAAGCCTATGTTAGTCTCCCTATAATCTAATTATTCGTTTAGATTTGCTCTCTGGAGCTATAAATGTGTAACAGATATGGCCCTTCTAAATATCTGAGGATAGCTGACATATCTTTTCTGGCTTTTCTAATTATTTTTAGTTCCACTGGGTGTGGTGGCACATGCCTGTAATCCCAGCACCCAGGAGGCTGAGGCAGGAGAATTGCCACAAGTTAAGAGGGCAGCATAGAGTACATACTGAGTTCAAGGCCAGTCTGCACAACAAAACAAGACTGCTTCAAAAAACAAAATCAAGGGGCTGGGGGTTTAGCTCAGCAGCATAAGCGTCTGCCTTGAAAGCAGGTAGTCGTGAGTTCAATCCCCGGAACTGGTAAAAAGGAAAAAGACAAAAAACAAAAACAAAAACAAAATCAAACACCCCCACTCCACCCCAATGTTTTCTAGTCCCTTCAAGTCCCACTCATGATCCAGATTCCAGATTCCAGGTTCTTTTTATTTTTTTAACTTTTTTGAGACTTGCTATGTACTCCAGGCTGGCCCTAGATTTGCTGGCAAATGCTAGACAATTAGCCTACCACTGAGTATCACCCCTAATCCTTTTAAAATTTTATTTTATTGATTTACTTTTTGAAGTAGAGTCTCACTATGAGGTCTAGGCTGGCCTTAAACTCATGGGGAACCTACTGCCTCAGCCTCCCAAATGCTGGGATTATAGGAATGCACTACCATCCTGGTTTAAATTTTATTTTGAGATAAGAATCTTAGTAGATTGTCCAGGGTAGGCTCAGCCTCCTGCTTCAGCCTCTTGGGTAGCTGAGATTCCAAATGTGTGCCAACACATCTGGTGATTTTTTTTTTTTTTTTTTGTCTTCTTTCCTTTTTATCGGTACCGGGGCATCTGGCGAGTTTTTTAATCCAAAAACTGGTAAGTACATTTTTCTTTATAAAATTTCAAATGATTGGTTGTGGCTCTTTTTTTTTTTCTAGTTTTTTAAGATTTTAAAATATTCAGTGTATAAGTTTTCCCTCCTAGGGTAGAGGAATGGGAGGAAAAAAACAACAAGCCATGTAAAGATACAAATTCTATATGATGAATGTGATTGTTATGTATGCCTAAAATGTACCAATAAAATCTAATTTTTAAAAAAAGTTTTCCCTCCTAGCTTTCCCAGGAGTGGTAGCACTTCAGCTTACACCTGCAATTCAGGAGAACAACAGGCAGCAATTTAGGGATAATTCTCCTTAGAACAGTGATTCCAAGTAGCCCCCAAACCCTAAAAAACTTGCCAAGCTTATTTTCTAATACATGTAATACCCTGCTTAGGAGTTTTAGTAAATACCACCATCACATTTTTTAAAGCCCAGTGTACTCTTCCTGCCTCTGTCTCTCAGATGCTAGAATTATAAGTGTGAGCCACTATGCCTGGCTCTGAATATACTATTTATATCTTCATTTGTATCAGTGAGAAAAAAGGCCATAGATTAGCACCATGAATCAAATCCTGTTATAAGGCATCAGAAATCAGATGCTCCTAAAAGATCAAGACTCTGGTTACGACAATCACTTAATTTTTTTTTTTTGTCTTTTTCATTTTGTCTTTTTGACAATCACTTAATTTTACGAAATGATTTAACTATAACCATCTAGTTGGCTTTTCATCTAGTTGTCCAGAAAAACATCAATTCTTTGTTAAACTGACCTGAACTGGCATTACCAACCAGTAACTATTATAAAAGGAAATGAGGTTGGGCAATGGCAATATGCCTCAGTTTCCTTATCTATAAGATGTTTGTGTCAGACTAAATGATCTTCATGAACCACGGCATGGTTCTAGGATTCTCATTATTTGGCATGTCAAATTCTTTCCTCCAAATCCAAAACACAACTCTTGCCTGTCTCATCCAGCAATGTTGAAGGCCTAAGGCCCACCTTTATATGGTGGTTACTTGACAATTTCAGAAGGAAATCAAGGGCAGTTGTTCTTTTTTTTTCCGGTACCAGGGATCGAACTCATGACTGCCTGCTTGCAAGGCAGGCCCTTATGCCGCTGAGCTAAATCCTCAGCCCCAGGGCAGCTGTTCTTAAACTGAGACCCATGGTGAGCTACAGTAGGTAGAAAGAGCCCTCTAAAATTGCATGCAAAAATAAGCCTGTTGGGTTATGCACTTTTTTTTTGGGAAGAAGATCCACACCACCTGTCAGTTTTTCGAAGGAGAAATAACCTGTCCCATAGAATTCCTGGGTGGGGCTCAGTGTTGATATATAGTGCTCACATTTTTCTTATCTGCCTGTCCCTTCTTCCGTTCCTTGTTTGCCATGATCACCCCAGTGCGCAGGGTTTCAAACACAGGGTCATTTCGATTGGCAGCAGCTAGTGGAATGGGAAAAACAAGATATTACTTATATTACAGAGAGAAGACAGAAGGAAAGAGACCTCAAGAAGGGAAAGGTAGATACTCAGAAGTGTGTGCGTATGGGTAGGGTGGGGATGAGGGAAGGACTAGGGAAAAGTGTGCTGGGTAATACCTATCTTACCGACCTCAAAGGGCTTTAAAAGCACCACTATAGCTCTCATTAAAAAACAAAACAAACAAAAACACCATGTGATATTTACTAGAACTCCTAGGCTGACTATTATATGTGTTGTCAACCTTGGTAAGTTTTTTAAGGGTTCGGGAGAGGCTAGGAATCACTATTCTAAGGAGAATGGTCTCTTAACTGCTGGCTTCTGTTTTGCTGAGTTGCTTGTGCAAGCTGGGGAGCTATCACCAGCGGATTCTTTCCACTCATGTTCCTCACAAAGTTAGCCTCTCCATATAAATGTTGATTTGAACAAATTGTCAATGAATACAGTTTTACAGGTTGCCAAGTTAGGAACTTGCCCATGATGTCTACATCCTTGGTCTGCCCCTGAGTCTGTCAAGTGTCTGTAACAAGCATAAAAACACTTTAAAATCCTTGTTCTTGCTTACAAATGGTTTTGCATGTGGAAAACAGATTTTGAAGCTAGCTGATTAAGGTTTCAGTCTTGGCTCCATCTTCTGTTAGCTATATGTAGCTCCAGTTAAAGTTTATTCCCCTCAGCCATAAAACGGGAATATTAACATCCAAAATAATAGCCATCCAAAATGGCTACAAAAATATTAGACTGAGGAAAACCTATGGAAAACAAAGAGTTTCTGCTTCACAATTTGGTTTCTAAAGCCAGACATCTCTGAGGCTTGCCCACTCCCTCAGGCACTTACATATGGGGCACTTACAGAGATCTTTGACACAAGCATACTGCTGGTTGCTGTACAGTGGGGAGCTATAGGCCCGATGAAAACCAGGTGGCTGTAGGATAGGATAGCAGAAGCATTAGAGATAACATGGTAGGGCCCAGCACCCCACTTCATGCATGAGTGCTAACCCATTCCGAGTAAGAGAGATTGAGAAAGAGCAGGGAAATGTACAGGATCACCTGAGAGATAGGCAAGGGGGCAGCTGGCAACATATGCCCTCCCATCAACTTTCTTGCTCCTACAGATTACTCACGATCTTGCCGAAGCATCTTTGCATCTCCACATAGGACTGACAGTGTTCATGAATGTTGGTTTTGCAGTTCTTACAGCGGAGTCCAAATTTGTTATTGACTTGGAAGGGGGAGAATAACTGGGTAAGGTTCTGATGTTCTTCTACCCTTTGCATTTCTGCAGATATACTAGGTCTGAGCTTCTCTTTCCCAGGACTGTGCACTCTCAATGAAAAAGTGTTTTCATAAGCTGAATCTTGCCCATCTGTCTGCTACAAACATTCCTCTCCTAAGCCCAACTCCCCTGCCCCGCTACTTCAACATCATACTCTCCACTTCCCTTTAGGACTCACGCACAATCATCCGGGCACAGACATCACAGAACTTTGGCTTCTTGAAGAAATGATCTTTGAATTTGTGGGGTTTGTCATTGACAAGCTTAGGAGGTTCTGGGGGTGGCTCCTCCTCTTCCTCCTCCTCTTCTTCTTCCTCATAAATATAGTAGATGGGCCCACCCCCAGCTCCTACTGCCTCACCATTGGCCTGGGGCTCTGGGGGAAGTTCCATCTCTTTTGTGTCTGGAGATCCCTTCCTGAACAACTGCTTTAGTCGCTGTAGCTGAGGGAGGAGGAAGGGAAACCCATTGTTAGAAGGACTGTGACCATTCCTAAAATAGGTAGAACTAAAGCTAACACATTTCTCTAGCTGGAGTAAACAATGTACCCCAGGATTATAGGGGACTAGAGGCTGCAGGTATTGGCTAACAGTGAGGCATACACAAGTGGGATCAATTCAAGCACTTCTCTTAGAATCTGTCTCCTCACCCTGCACCCTGTGATCACAGGCCCAGACTCACCCCACTTTGCGAAGCCTCTGCTGGCAGGGAGGGTTTAGAAGACTCCAACACCTCCTTTTCTGTCATCCTGTAAGGGATTGGACTCCATTGTGAAATCTAATCCCCGATTACTCTTCTTCCCTCCCTTACTCTTATCTCTTGCAGTATGGTAAGTCTTTCAATGGAAGACTACATAAGAAATTTTGTTAAAGCGAGATCCTTTGGTAGGCAGGGATTGTAAACAGTTCTACCATTCCATGGATTCCATGAAGGCCCAGAAGACAGCCCAAGAGATTGACGAACTTCTCAACCAGTTTCTCAAATGGATACTCATCCTTTTATCCCTCAGGGGCAGCCCCAGAGTTTACAGCCTTAACAGTGACCTCAGGATGCCCAGGTTAGGGATTTCTCTAGAGGTACTCACAGGCAATAAAGACATGATGCAAATCTTCCCACATTCCCTATTCTAAGGTTTTATGTGTCCTCGAGAGCATGCACGGAGAGATAGATGGGAGATTTTGCTCTTCTTTTTCCTGTGGCCCAGGTACCTGTGCCTAGTTCTGTCCCATCTTGCCTCAGGCCTCAGCTATTTTCAGAGTAATATGAGCCTTTCCTTCTCTTACTGTTCTGTTCTCTGGACTCCACCCCCACCTCCAATCCTAGCTCATCCAGGAGTACAAAAACAATTTCACTTCAAAAACCCACACTACTCACAGACAAGGAGCAAAATGAAGAAGCTGAAGAGATTATGTATTAGGAAAGCTGGGGTGCAGTCCTGGAAATGGAAGGATGATGAAGAGGCAACTTACATTTAAGATTCCCTAAATCAGTCCACAGTCTGTGGAAAGAGAAAGGAGGGCGTGAGGCTTTGATGATTGTATTGGGGGAAGATTGGTCTTCTTCCTTGGGGGCTGAGCCCCTGGCAGTACCCTTCGTACTCACACCAGCCACCCAGACGTACTGTAGGCCTTAAACTCTCAGCTAGGTGTCAGAGCTGAAATGACAGGGCTGGAGGAAAGTGGACAGCTGAACAGCACAGCTGACACAGAGAAATTGGACACGGAGAGGTCTAGGGCAGGGCCAGACCCTAACTCCTCCCATACCCCAGAGCTGCTCTTTGATTTTGATTGTTCATTTTTGATGAACACTGGATAGTCAGGAACAGTTTCTGTTCATGCTACATACTCATTTGAAGGAAGTTCAGATATCTAAAGGTAAAGTCAAGATGAATTATAAGCAGATTTACCCATACCCTTTTCCCAAGGTTCAAACACTTCTTCAATTCTATTTTCCCTAGGCCTACTTTAGGGTCTAGACTTACCTTCTCAGCCACGTTTTTTAGCATCCCTGTGTTTATAGATCTATCCTCAAGCATCGATCTAGCTTCAAGCCTTTAGGCTAGAAAAAGGCTGAAAATTGCTGAGAAGAGGGTCATTTGAATTCTCTGGGCCCTCCTACCACCAGACTAGATTGCTTTGTCGTCTGCAGATAGTCAGAAGGGTATGTGCTATCCTGTAAGGAAATGAAGAATTTGTAGTACTGTTTTGTTCTTTATACACCCACCCCTTCCACGCTGTTCCTGTAAAAGCTTGATCATAAAATGAAAGGAACTGTAAGGGCTACTAAAAAGAGATAGGGTAGCACTTCTGAGTGACGGTTTAGCCACCAGGTAGATGGTTTGGTTAACTAGGGACAAAAGGTTATAGCTTCCTTCAATAGAGTTTATCACCACCTGTACACAATGTCCTCTTCCCCATAAGAACTGCAAAATTCCTCCACCTTCTTTGTGGTATTGGGTATTGAAGCCAAGGATTTTGCACTGAGCTGAATCTCCCCCCAGCCATTTTTTATTGAAATAGATTCTCACTAAGTTGCTAAATTGCCCAGCTGAGCTTGAATCTGCGATCCTCCTGCCTCAGTTTCCCGCAGTGCTGAGATTACAGACATACACCACTTTATCAATAGAGAACTGCAAACCCTTGAAAGTAGCCAAGCCTCACATTTCCTAAAGTGTGCTGACTCTGATTCAATCTGCCACGGATGTCCCCCTATAAAACCTGAAAGGCTAAGAGCTTGCCAGTACTCTCATTTCACAGGGAAACAGCTTTATCCACTCTTTAGGTTGTGATGTGGCTGAAGGAAATCTTGGAGTAGAACAATGCAGAGGGTAATGTAGTGCTGCTTCATCTCTTCTATCTGTGAGAAATAAAGCTGTATGCTGGAGGCTGGATCAGACTAGCTGTTGAAGTAGCTTGGCTCAAGATATTGCTACCCAGGATTCAAGAGTTTCCAGGGCTACATGCTTTGTTATTTACTTCCACTGCTCAGTTCTCTCTTTAAGGAGTGGTGAGGTTTTTTTTCCTTTGGTCTTTTTCATTTTCATTTTTATCAGTACCAGGGATCAAACTCACAACTGCCTGCTTGCAAGGCAGCGCTTATGCCGCTGAGCTAAATCCCCAGCCCCCAAGTGGTGAGGTTTAAAAGAGCTGTTACAAGGGTCTAAGTCTGTAGCTCTGCAATGGCTCTGCTCTGACAGATTGTAGATAACAAGGATGACTCAGGGGCCCCCCAAAAGAAGAGAATCTGTTTTGCAGGCAGGTGACTCCTATTCTTTACTTTTCCTCAGTCACATAGGACACAGATTACTGAGCATGCCTGGTTTCTACAGCATCTAGGCTCTGTAACTTTAACTGGTACAGTTTTTATTGTAAGAAACATCCATTTCTGTTTCTGCCATGTGGAATTCAAACCTCTGGCTTTAGAATTAAAAATCCAAGACTCCATCCCTGAAGGATTTTCTTTTTTTTTTTTTTTTTGGTCTTTTTCCTTTTTATCGGTACCGAGGATCGAACTCACGACTTCCTGCTTGCAAGGCAGGGGCTTATGCCACTGAGCTAAATCCCCAGTCCCTACCTGAAGGATTTTCAAAAGTTTAGATGGATAGCAATGAGCTCAGCATCTCAACTCACTTCTGGACTTCACTTACCCATTTCCAGCTCAGCCATGAGATTCCTAAATGAATATCAGAACAGGTTGGAAGGAACCTCTGATGTGGTTGCAGAGGTCCAGTGATAAATGGTGCACTTAATGAACTGCATTGTTGGGAAAGGCCCAAGCCAAGGTCTCACAGAGAATCACCCATCTATCATACTGTGTACAAGGGAGAGGGTGGGACAGAAGGAATACTGTCAGAAAAAATTTGCATGCACTTTTGAGGAAGCCATCCCAACTTAACAAATCCCTCCAACAACTGTGGGGTACCTACCCAGGGCCTCCAAACCCCACCCACATCAGGGCCGCAACAGAGAAACAGTGACTAATGTCCAGTGACAGTTTTTTTTTTATATTTAAAAACAAAACCAACCTCCCCCACAAGGCCCTCCAAACAAATAAACAAACAAACAAAAAAAACCAGATTAAATAAAATTTACAGTGAATATACCCAGCAAACATCTGTATGTGCAATTAAATACTGTATCTGTTACTGCGGCACGAACCTCAAACAAACAATATACAAGTGTTCTGGGAGTAGGGGGAATCCCAAGTTTTAACTGTGGAGTTTGGAGTCAAGATGGGGGAAGTGAGAAAATGGGGAAATCAATTTTTTTTCTTAATTCAGTCTATATAAATATATTCATAAGGACTAAAAAAGGAAAGGGAGCTTAGGGTGGTGAAATTGGAGGGGAGTGTGGGACCCTCCCAATTCTACCTGACCAAAAATTATAAAACAAATTAATTTCACGGGGAAGAAAAGATAAAAAATGATAGAAAAGGATGGGAAGGACAGAGAAGCAGGTGGGAGCCAACCAGTGAGGAATGGGGTACCCATGGCAGGGGAGTGTGGAAGGAGTCCAGTGCCAATTAGAGTCTGCTTTTTCATCCCTAATAGCTTAGGCTTCAGTTTGGTGTCCATCTCCTTACTTCCCACCTCTGTCCCACCTCAGCCCCTCCACCTTGCCCCCCAGCCAGTCCCTTCCCCTCTTCTGTTTATTGGGAGCTGGCTCGCTCCAGGATTCTCAAGTCATAGTTCTTTTTGGCCACTCGCAGTTTGAAGCGACTCACGGAGTTGTTGAGGCGAAGGGAGGCATTTTGGGCAGCCAGGGGGCTGGGGAACACAGCCACGATGGTGTACAAGGCAGCGAGGTCCGAGTGGCGGCCATTCTCGGTAGTCCCACTGTTGTCCCCACCACCCCCACCAGGCAGCCCCTGAGCATCTCTGAGCCACTGGATCTTGGCACCGGACATGGCGAGCTGAGTGAAGAGTTTGTCCGCCTCAGTACGGGTGATGCCCTCGGGCAGATCTGTCACCTCCAGCACCCGCCCCAGGACTGGAAGGGGAGGAGAGAGGACATGATTGTGAGAGGTAGGGTAAGCATCGGACAGTAGCCTAACAGAGAGGTATCCAGCTGACCAAGTATGTATAGAATGTCTTCAGAAGCTCCACTTTTCCCACTTAGCCCTTTCCTCCTTTCCTCCAAGCAACCAGATTGCTTACCATCCAGACTCTGATGAGTACAACTAGGAGAGAAAAAATATGAACCTTTCTCTTCTTCAATCCCAGAGATGTAGGCAAGGAGGGATTGAAAAATCATGTTTCAGGTTTGTGAGCTGGGGACCTACACCTTAGTTCTCTCACAAGGGGTCACTGTGATAAAGGAAATGTGGCTTTTACTAATGGTCTTTAATTTTTTTTTTTTTTTAACTAATGGTCTTTAATAAAGTTAGTGGACAATCTGAAGCATGTTCCATTGTTCCCTTCACATGTACAGGTTGGACCAAACAGATTCTTCCTTCTAGTCTGTTCCTTGTTCAGAAAACTGATGCAAATAGAAGAATTCTAAGAGACCTTGTATGCCTCATATGGAAGGCCTGCAGGAGGATAGTTACTGCCCTATTTTTTTTTTTTTACTTCCAAATCCATTTTATTACAAGGAGAAAAAGAAAAGAAGAATAAGGAGAAAGAGGAAGAGGAGAAGGAAAAAAAAAACTAAAACAAAATTTCAAAACACATCAATCAGGGGACTGCCTCAATTTTCTATCACTTCCTATAGTAGGTCTCCTACAGATGTCCTAAATCAGGGTCAGGAGTGCTCTGAGAAGACTGTTGGTTACTAAGTCTTAACAACTCCTATTATGGTGCTACTCCCAATTATTACTGTGATCTGTCTTTGGACATGGGATATCTTGGTGAAGGGGACTAAGATACTTGCACAAAAGGCTTCATTACCATTTCCTTCTCTAAGGTGGCTTTCCCATCTGTCCTGATCTGGAAATGAAGGGCTAGGGGGATGACCATCTTCTTTTGGGGATTTGGTATCCTGTCACTCACCAACATCTGCTGTTCCCAGGTCAGTGGAGGCAGACTTGAGTGCTTGTCTCTTGGCCCGGTTTCCATGCTTCAATCCACTTTGTCCCTTCAACATTTGAAAGGCAATCTTACTCCAAGCAAACCATATTGACTTGGATTGTGTCCCAGTGTCTTCCTGAGAGACTGAGTAGCACCTAACCCTAAGGATTCTACCCCATCTGGCAGTCAGATCAGCTGGTGAGTGGCCAATGAGAGTCTTTTTGTCTTGGTACCAGGGTAAGGTGGGACTAATGAGTATGGGAATGGGGGTAAAGCTCCCCATGGTGTGTCAATCCTGTGTTGTCTTCCTTGTTCATCCAGGTGGCTAAAGTAAGTGGCTCAGAGAGATACCCAGATTGGGGTGGAGGTGGGGCCAATGGTGGACACTCCTACCTGGTGCACTGTGTATGTTGACTGGCCGTGGAGCAAGGGAGGGCAGATAGACAGGTTGTACTGTAATGGCTGGCCCAGGAGGGAGTAGCGCCCATCACCTAGGGAATAAGAGCAGGTGATTTTCTGGGAGTTTAACTTCATGGTATGGCTATTAGAAAATTTCAGTTTTTATTTCAGATTTCAGTTATTATCAAGATCTGACAGCATATTTTTCTATGATAGGCATGACCATGTGACTGATTTAACTGTCTCTTCCTAAAGCCTTTTGCTTGTAGCGATATCTCATAGATAGGCTATAAGATTTTCTCACTGGGCGGCAGGCTGCGGCAGCCCAGGGACTGGAGCCCTAGGATTTACTGGGACCCACACCAGGCTGGACCTGCAGCACCGGGAAACCAAGCAACCCCTGCTGCCTCTGGTTAGTGGTTGTGAGCCTGCCGGCAGGCGCAAACCACAAATCAAATATCACATCTTCTCCCCTACCCCTTAGCAAGTGGGAGCCAGTGATCTGGACATGAGAGGTTGACCATAGGTAATGTAGCAAATAGGGGGGATTTC